AATCCAGGGGCTGGAGATAAGCCATGAACAAAAGGGATGTAGATCCTCTATGCATGAAGGTTTGGGATGGGAGGTGGGCTATCAGAATTAGACGACCAAGTAAAATAATTTCAGACATTAAGAACACAGGGTGGCAAGATAGAAAATGACAGTGGGGGGGAAGCTATTTTAGGATGCTTTAAGAAAGCCTCAAGTGACATTGCAGCCAAAAGCTGAATCACCCAAAAGAACCGGCTGCCAGAAGATGTAGATCCAGGAGTCTTCTAGGTAGAGAGAATAGCATGTGCAAAGGCCCTGAGGCAGGAATGTGTTTGACAATTTCAGGGAATTGAGGAAATGCTGATGAGGAAGTCATGGTAATGACCAAGGTGTAAAGGCAGGGACTGGATTTATTAGGAGAATCATCACATGTAAACTGTAGAGTGTGTTATAATTTGCACAGGGTTTTGAACACACACTATCTCAATTCAGTCATCCCAACATTCCTATTAACTTCCTCAGGGTCACAAAACTAGGGACTAGGCAGACAGGGACTCTGACCAAGAACTCTATTTGCACAACTCCAGAGGGCACTATCCGTGCAGCAGGGGGAGCCATTCATATCATTGCTTGGAGTTCCAACAGTACACAGCCTGTGCCACTGTACATAGCGACCCTGTGCTAGCTCAGGTCTATTTTCTGTGCTTTTTCTGTGCTAGGGACTGTTGGGAATACAAAGAATAAAAATATTATTTTAGCCTTTGGTGAACACAGGATGTAGTTAAAAAGAAACAGTATGTGAAGAAATGGTGGATGGTATAAGACAATTTTTGTTTCTGGCAAGGATATTATGAATAATTTAGTAGGGGATGCAAGATTCAAAATTGGCTTGAAGATTTAGATTGGTGGACATACAGAAAGAGAAATCCATAGGAGTCATCACAGACACATGCAATAAAAACCTAGTATGTTATGGACCACCATAAGCGCTTGCCTCCAGCAATTTGCGACTAGAAAAAAAAAAGAATGTTTATTATCCTATCATGTAAAAGAGAACCATACAGGTAAAATTTTGGCAACTCTAAGAGAAAAAGAAATCATTTATAATCTCATTAATGAAACACAACTTCTTTTCACATTTTGGTGTATTGCCTTTTGGTTTTTCCTCCTAGGCAGGCAATGTATAGGGGTGTGTGTGTGTGTGTGTGTGTGTTTATCACATGTATGTAAATGTATGGATATGTCATACATGTATATACACCTACCACAAACACACACACACATATTCTTACCTTTATTGAAGTGTAATTTAAATGCCTTAAAATTCACACATTTTAACTGTGCAGGTTGACATGTTTTGGCAAACAAGCACCTGAGTAATCGCCACTATGTTAAAGATCTAGGACATTCCTTTACACCACAACTTCCCTTACCCCATTAGTCACTCCCCCACCCTACCTTACACTCTCCTCCAGGCAATCACTGAACTTTTTTCTGCAGCCTTAGACTAGTTTTGCCTACTCCAGATGGAAGGAAGATCTCTGTCTCTGGCCTCTGTTGTTCAGCGTGTCTCTGAGGTTTATCATGTATATGTAGGTACCAGGAGTTTGTTCCTCTTTGACGCTGACTAATATTCCCTTATAAGAATGTATAAGAATTTGTTTATTTTTTCACCTGTTAACGAACATTTGGATTGTTTCTCATTTGGGGACATCATGTATAAAGCAGCTGTGAACATTCCTGTACATCTGTGGACGTGTTTTCATTTCTCTGGATAAACACCTGGGAGCAGATTCGCTGGGTCAAACTACCAAGCACTTTTCCAAAGTGGTTGTACCATTTTACGACATAGGGGAGTTCAGTATTTTCCATGTTCTCACCAATATTTCCTACTGCTGTTCTCTTTAACTGTAGCCATTCTCATAAGTGTGTGGGGATTTTAAATTGCATTTCCTTCATCACTAATGATGGGGAGCATTTTTTTCACAGGCAAGCGTTTCCATAGTTGTAATTCTTTGTAGCCTCTGCTTTTTAAATGTACCCTTAATATCGCCATTCTTCTCTGTTTCCCTGTAGTTTTCATGACCATTATATCAATGGCTCCTAATCCTCCAACACGGGGAATCTCTACAATTTATTCAATCATTCCTCTAGTAGACGTTTAAAGGATTTCCAGTTTCCCACATTTCGAAGTAACACGGAAATGAACACATGAAGGTCTATGTTTCCCCCATATTTTTGATGATTTCCTTTAAGTTAATCACAAAAATAAGATGATGGGGCCAAAGGCATTTTTTTGGCTTTGGGAGTGTAAACTGTGAGGCGGATATTGAGGCTGCTGTCTTTGAAGGCACAACTGAGGCCCCGTTCTCCTCTCTTAGCTGAGGTCTCAGCATCGGGCCCCTTCATGCATGTGATCCTTTGGTCCAGAGGTGGGGCTAATAACCATGATTTTTTGAGTCCTGGGTAATGCCGAAAAGGTTGATGCTGTCTATCATCGACATAATGACCCAGAACAACAGGCTTCGTCCCCCTCCAGCCAAGTTGAAATGTGGGGCAAGAAGAACTCTGGGGTGCTGTTCCCCTGAGAATAATCTGTGTAGGTCCCCAGCCAAGTAGTGACTGGGGCCATTCACTGGCATTTCCACAATTTCTGTACACAAAGTGTCCGACTGAAGGGGCCAGAACTTGATTTGAAGAGTGTTTTGATGCCATGTGGGGTGTTTTCATTTGGATTGTATGTTTGTAGGTGGGGGAATCTCTGGGAGGACTGATGCTGATGACGGGAAGGGGTACGTGGAAAGAGCTGGGGGACCACAACCACTGCAAAGATAAGAGAGGGGTTGGATCAACCCTGCCATAGTGCAGGTATGAAGCTAGACACAGACATGGCATGGGTGTGGGCACCTAGAGAAGCATAGTAGTCCTATCTGGTTAGCAGAGACCCTTATCAACCCCTTTACAAGTGTCCAGCAACCCCCCAAACTTAGCAAGGGCCATATTTTATATGGTTCCAGGTCCACCTCCCTATTCCTGATTCAGGAGGAATTGTCCAGGGAGAGAAAACCAAGAAGAATTTGCACAGCAAATCAGTCCCCTGTGGGTACCCCATTCAGGCATGCTTATATGGAAGAAAAGGCCTTTGGGCCAGGTTGCCAGGGCCCTTCTTCCCCCGGCCTCCCTCTGAGAGTGTCACCTGAGTTCTTACATTTCCTCAATGTGCCCTTGATGACCCTCCAAAGGGCAACCAGCGGAATGCCTCCATCTGCCTGGAGACCTGACACTCACCAGCAATTTCCAGAAATTCCTGATTGTACTAGTGCCTCAGTATGCATCTTTCCCCCTCTAAATGTGAACTTACCAAGGACAAAAACCATTCCTTATTCATAATGTCTCAGTCTGGATTCCCCTAGAAGCAGGCCTTGAAAGGAGGATTCAAGGGCAAGTCGTTTATTTAGAGGCAATCCGAGGAAACTCTAGCAGAGGGCTGGGGAAGTGGGCCAGGAGAGGGAGGGCAGCAAGATAGAGCGTGTTATCGAGCCCGTTGCCCCTGTGAGCAACTGAGGCTCGGTCCCGTAGAGGCCTCTGGAAGATCGCACAGAGCACGCCTCCAAGCTGCTCCACCCGAGTGGGAGGGAGCTGGGGTATCTATCCACCAACCACTAACGGTCATGGTTGAGGAGGTTCCCGGGGGAGACTTTCATTCCTGGGCTCCCAGCTGCACTGCCTGCAGGCAGAGTGGGCTCCAACAGCTGGGGAAAGCCCCCAAACCAAGAGACATAGGCGCTGGCAGCTGGAAGTCAGGCCACCTTTGCACACAGAAGTGGGAAAGCCAAGAAGCTGCAGGGAGAGCACAGACATGAGCTGTGTCTCCCCAACATGGCTCAGCACTGGCAATGAACAAATCCTCAATAAAGCAGGTTGGTGGAACCCAGAGGGCTCAGCTGGCTTTGGCCCCAAAGCTATAGCTTCTTTTTGTTCTCCAGCAACCCCTGAATACTGCCATCAGCTGGCCGCGTTATTTTAGGATCAAACCCAGAAGACCAGTGAGCACCATTACATTTTTGAGCAATACTTTTTATAAAAGTGTAATCCCTGAACCAGCAGTAGCAGCAGTACCTGGAAATTTCTTAGAAATGCTGATTCTTGAGGCTTATCCCCAGACTTACCAAAGTCAGGAATTCTGGGGAGTAAATCTGTATCTTAACAAGCCCTCCACGTGATTCAAATGTACCCTAAAGCTTAAAAACCACTATTTTAGGCTCTGAAATTTAGGATAGTGTCCAAGGCAAGGCCCTTTGCTCTTTGGTTAGACTGCTTCCTATTCCCAACCTCAAGCACCAGAGAAGCAAGGGGATGGAACTTCTAGAAGCCTTTCAGACTCCGGCTCCTTTTGTCGGTTTTCCTTTTCTTTGCGGGGGTCTTATTAAATAGAAATTGTACCTAATTACCAATCACCTGCAGAGGAAAGCAGCACAGGCATATGAAACTATAGAAGGCACCCTGAGAGGCATCTGCCTCCGGTTTGGCCAGGGAGAGAGGGTGGGGGAGATTTACATTTTTCTGTTTGTTTTCTGAGCTAATATTTAAATTCTTCTGTTTGCCTCTGAACACAGCAGGTGGGCAGTAGGGGGAAAGTCGTGGGTCTGCCTTCGATTTTTAAATCAATCATAGAAAATGGGCAAAGGAAGAGTTAAGTGTTGGAGGTATCCTTCTTGAAGTCAGTTTGTGTGGGAAAAATCGAAAGAAGCACTTGGTTCACTTGCGTTGACCCAAAGCAGGCCGGAGAGGGGATTCGTGGTACTGGGGTCCCAGTGCCCCACTCAGGCTGATAGCCTCTAGTACGACAGCTGCTTTTCCAGAAGTGCCAGCCAGAACAACTCCCAGAGGTGCTATTTCTTCAGGAAGGACCCCCTGCACCCTGATACCAGGAGTGATGGTGGGCCTTGCGGGGGATCCCAGTGGTGTGACATCACAATGTGTCCCCATTCAGGATCTCAGGACAGACTTGACCCCTAGTCCAGGAGATAAGCTTACCCTCCTAGAACTGGCCTGCACTTCCAGGGCCGCGGCAACTGAGACAAGTTGACCTGCGGCGCTGATCTGCCCGGCCCACTTGGTGAGTATTCAGACACTCCGAGAGCCAGGGACAGAAACACAGCGGGAGCTAGCTAGCCTAGTGCCTCAGGGTCCCACACCCAGAGCAGCAGACCCAATCCGGCGTCCAGCGATGCACCAGGACAAGCCTGAGCCCTTCCCGGGGAAGCGGGCTCACCCGACACAGACACCCCTCTCCTGACCTTGGGCGGGTTGCCATCTGCAGGAACTGATACTCTAATCACGTCCTGGGCCCAGTCTGCCACCTGCCCTGGCTCCCTGGGCAAAGGTCATCTGGGTGCTTGATAGAGGCTCTGGGGCAGGGAGGCCAGGCTCTTAGGTGGCGTGGCCACTAGAGAATTAGCTCAGTGATAGACTCATAGCAGCGCGAGCAGGGGTAGCCTCTCCGGCAACTCGAGGGATGCTGAGACCGCCTCCCCTCTGCCTCCCCAATGCGCACGATGGGCTTCCTCTCTGTACACTTTGCCTTCTCTCCTTGGCTGTTTTAAAATCCCACTCCCATGGGTGCCCGGTGTATCGCGTCTCTTCCTTCCCTCTTGGGACACACACACACAGAGATTTGAAACCACTATGGGAAGTGAGTAGATGAGTGAGAATACTGGAAGAGTAGGCAACAGGGAAGAAGGTGTGGCGTGTGCGGGGGTGGGAGTGAGGGTGGGGAAGGGGTGGGGGGAGTGGGGGGGCAGGAGGCTGGCTTTTTCCCAGCTGAGAGCAGTGGCTTGAGGGTAGTCTCAGGCCCGAGGGTCTTCAGCAGCCAGCAGGGACAGGCCCAGGGGGCACCAGGAGGCACAGTCAGCCTCCCCTCACTGGCTTGCCTGTCCATTGGCTCCCCAACTCCAGACGGGCCATTCGCCATCCATTCGCATCCTGCCAGTGCGCACAGGCGCAGAACAGCTCACACATTGGGGTGGTTTGTTGGGGGCCGATGATGTAGAGCAGGAGCCTGGCTTTCCCTGAGTGTGTAAAGCAGAGAGGGAGGCAGTCAGGGAAATCTGCCCCCAGGGTTTAGCATCCCTTCTCTGTCTTCTCATGACCGCTGACTGCCAGACTCTTTCTCACATGTGAGGGTCCCAGTCATAGTGATCCACCAAGCCTGCTGGGAACATTGTAGCTCCATCCCAGGCCCCTCTGAAAGAAAAGAACAGTCTAGAGGCTGGAGCCAGGGGGTCCCATGGTCCTCCACCAGCAACAGACCTCATTTGGAAAGGGAAGGGCAGGGAGCCCAATGCGGGACTCGATCCCAGGGTCCTGGGATCATGACCTAAGCCAAAGGCAGACGCTTAACCAATTGAGCCACCCAGGTGTCCTGAAGTAGGTATTTTCACGCTCATTTTATAGATATGGAAACTGAGAACAATGTGTGTTCTGGGTGCTGCGTTTTAAGAGGGACATTAACCTAGAATCTCTATACACTCCGTATACAGACGAGCATACCCACAGATTAGAGCACTCTGAAAATAGAATGGGCTCCTTTGGGAGGCCGTGAGAGTGCCTTTGGAAGCATCCGGGCAAACTGGGTGCCTTCCGTCAGCAGGGCTGGGACAGGATCCTTGTGATCAGTCGGGAACTGAACCAAAAGCTCTTTAAAAGATGTTCCAAATCCCAGATTGCAGGATCTGGGTCTCAAAACCGTGCTCACCTTCCATGTTTGAACCCAAATGGGTCAGGCCTTCCACGGGGGTTGCAAACTTTGTTGGCGGGGAAAGCTTGGAAGGAACCGTAGAGATCGGCTCCCCCAACCTGCTGAGCTGCAGATAGGAAGCAGGTGGCCGGGCTGGTTCTGGCGGGGATGATCCAAGGCCACGGAGCCAATTCCCAGCATGACTATGTGTTGAATGAATGAATGAAGGCATGACAGTGCCAGGACTGGAACTAGCCTGAACGCTGATCAAATGTCCCTTAGCCATCTCTTTCCTATGAAGATTATGATTCAGCCAACACTTACAGAGCACCTACTGTATGCCACGTGTGTTCACTGAGATGATTTCACGTAATCTGCTCCTCACCCATCAAGTGGGTGTCATCATCCACATTTCTCAGACAAGGATGGTTGTGTAACTGCCCCAAGGGGTAGGGGACTTACAGGGGCACCACGAACATAATGACAGGGCAGGTCTCGCCAATTCCAAGGAGAACAGGCACCTATACCTGCCGCTGCCCAGCCTGTGCAGGGAAGCACCTTCCTATTTATCCTTCCTAAGGACAAACTGCTGGTGACTTGCCCAGCTGCTCAGGGGCTATTTTGCCTCCTCTTGGGCTTGGTCCTGGCTGCTGTTGGGCTCCCCGTGGGCCCGCCTCATTCACGCCCGTGCCTCTCGCCCCGACGGGACAAGATGGAGTGACTGTTTCCACACCAGCAGATGTTATGCGCCAAGGAAGAAAATATGCTAATCAAAATCAGCTTTGGCTAATTGTAGCAATTTCCCTTCTGCGCACTGCCCTGAAATAGTAGCCACGCTCTGTTCTTTTTTTCACATCAGGGAGCCCCAAACTGGCAGCTTAAATGAGGTTGCAAAGAAGTCAGTTAAACAGGCCTTTTTGCTGCCAGTTACCATGGATGAAGCCTTGAACATGCTCTCCTGGTAAGACCTCAGTTCCACCATTTGTGGCCTTGGCGTCTTGCTGCGGATCATTCAGACGCACTGTCGGGCTACGAGAACCTCATTGAATCCTGGGGAAAAGCAGAACCTCAAGGGATTTAATGAAGCACCAAGCTCAAGAGCACATGGTCTGACCTTGAACCCTGGTTTGCCCGTGGTTTGTTCTATAGCCAGCGTGGGCTGATTGCACTTTCCCCACTGAGGGAGATATTCTCATCTCTGCGCTCCTGTATGGTCGCCAGGAGCCACGTGTGGCTATGGAGTGCTGGAAATGGCTAGTGGGACTGAGGAACTGAATGTCAATTTTAATTTTAACGGAAGTTTGACTTTAATAGCCTTTATGTGGCTAGTGGTCATTGGACCGGACAAGGGGATTACAGCCATACCAACTTTTGTGACTTCATCTCTTGACCTCGTTTCCCCCTAAACCCCCCTCGTGGGGCCCCCCTCCCACTGCATTCACCAGACCTTCAGCCTATGCCTCCAACAAGCCAAGCTGTTCCCTGGGGGCTTTGGCAGCATCGCCCTGCCCTCGGGTCATTGTATGGTGTGCCTCTGTCCACCGTCACCGCCTCAGATCTGGAGTATCTCCTCAGAGCACCTTTCCCGACCTTGTCTGATATCGTAGTACCCAGCACCGCTCCCAACTGCTGCTGATTTCTCCCTAATTATCATGTGTCTTAGCTCAGATTGCTATAACAGAGCATCACGGACTAGTAAACCACTGAACGCATCTCACTGCTCTGGAGGGGAGAAGTCTGAGATCGGGGACAGCATGGGCAGGTTCCAACCAGGATCCTCTCTCGAGTGGTGGATAGACCTTTCCTTGTGGTTGCCTCATGTGGTGAAAAGAGAGCTTTTCAGGGTTCCTTTTATAAGGGCAGCTAATCCCATTCATCAGCGTTCCACCCTAATCACCTAATGACCTAATCACTTCCCAAAGGCCCTGAATCCTACGACATCACTCTAGGGGTTAGGAGCTCAACAGATGAATGCTAGGGGTGGGGGCGGGGGCACACACCTTCCAGCATGGATTGTGTTTGGGTAGTTTCCTGGCTACTGCCATCTTCCTGGACAGGAACTTCAGCCCTGCAAGAGCAGGGGTACTATCTCCCGTGATCACTCCACCCCAGACCTGGAACAGAGCCTGGAAGAGCACCTGGCAGGTGGAAAGTGCTCAGCATAGTGTCTAGAGCGAGTGAACACCTTGCAGGAGGAAAGACAGTCATTGCCTCAGTAGACTTGCTGTGGAACCCAAAATGTAGGGGTTTAATACAGTGATGATCAATTATTTCTCCCAGTGCCCTCGGTCAGAAATTTGGGTAAGGCTCAGCTCCACATGGCACGGGCGAGTGTCACTCTCTCATCCTTCTGGAACTCACATGGCCTCCATATGACATCTCGGGTTGGTTAATCAGACTTGATGACAGCTGGCTTTTGAGGGACGAAGCAGAGCTGCCAGGCTTCTTGAGGGCTAAGCACAGTCCTGGCCCCACCACCTCACCACATTCTGTTGGTCCAGGCAAGTCCTGCGCAAACCCAGATGAAAGCGTCCAGGAAACTGTCCATCCTCCCCCCAGTGGGCAGGGCATCCGGAAAGGAAGGATCTGGTGGCAGCCATCTTTAATCGCTGCTACAGTCACTACCAATAACCCACTAGTGGTGGGGTTCTGAAACTGAATGGTGCACAGGCACTACTTGGGCCTTGTTAAAATGGAGATCCTCATTTGGTAAGTCTGGGGGTCTTACCAAGACCCCTAAGTCTGAGATTCTGTATTCCTAACAAGCTCCGAGATGCCACTCCTTGGGTCGATGACCATCAGAACCACAGGCAAGGCTGTATTAGAGTGCAATCCTGTCAGGGCTGGCATATGTTTAGGTTTGGCCCCTAACACAACCACTGGTGCGTCATTCCACTGGGTTGAGAGTTGTCCATTATCAGCAGGGTCCATGTGATCAGTTCTTTCTCCCCTGGTCCCCAGGCTTTGCCCACACATGGCCACAAGAACCATCCCATTCCATCTCCTGCATGCTTCCCACGCATTGCTTTTCCAAGCTCTACTGCTCCTTCCTCCTTTTCTCTAATATTGGATTCCCAGCACATCTCTTGTAAAATTGGTGGGGTGGGGTTCTTTCAGTTACAGGTAGAATCAAACTCAAATTAGTTTAATGGAAAAGGATTGTTGGGCATGCTGTGGCTTCAGGAATGGCTGGATCCAGCCTCTCAGTGATTTTGTCATTAAATTTTCACCATCATCAGCTCTGCCTCCCCTTGGAGATCTCTCTGTAAGGCTCTCTCAAAGTGAAGGAAGAGATGACCCCTGCTTTGCAACCACACCAGGAAGAAAGCACCATTTCTTTCCTAATCTTTCAAGCAAAAATGCCAGAGTTCTCTCTTCTT